AAATGCGTACTTCAAGCGTGCAGACCCTGAATTGGGACACAGCAAGTGTTTGGTTGTGTGGCGGCTGGTCGCTGTGCAGGTTTCCCGAGCGTCACCATAGAGACACCATAGAGTATTTATGTCATGAAGGTGGGAACACTAAATTAGGATCCTGTTATTCGCTTTTGTAGCAGCGACGAATGCAGCAGTGCGAGGAGGCGTCAGATCAGTTTCTCTCCAGTGACTCTGACTCAGAGCTTTTTCTCTTTTTTAAATAGTTGACTTAAATACGTTAGGTTTTATTTCATTGGTTAACTCGTCCTTTCACACGCCTCGCGTCACGAGGGGCGCCATGTTTGAGCTTTACTTTGATGACACCTCCTGAGAACGTTCTCATCATCCAGTGTTTTTCATGTATTTATGTGCAGTTGCTGTCGTCTCTGTAAAAACCTGAGTGTGAGAACTACAAATGTTTTTTAAAGAACTACAAATTAAACGTTTTAAAGAAAACCTGAATCTGTGTCTGACTCTATCGGCGCCCAGCTGCAGGTTACAGTGAATCAAACTCTTCACGGAGGCTGAAGCGTTTTCAGTGCTTTTATTAATAATGAACTGGTTTCGTCTGTAAAAAGGACAGAGGAAGAATGGGACACAAAGTTTCCACCAGTTTGAACGTCTTCAGTCCAGTTTCATGTCCGTGTGTACAGACGGTCTCTGCCTACGTGTTAAAAATCGAGAAACTTCGCCTCGCGCGAGGCGTTTCCGTCTGATCTGCTTTTTAAAAAAACATCCAGGTGAGAACATCGACTCGTGTCAGGCGTGCGGGGAATGTTACGAGGTGGAGGCGCCGCCGCTGTCGGCTTCAGTTGGCAGACGGATGGAAGGACAGCTGCTGGGCGGGGTGAGCCTGGACCTGGACAGCTGGAAGACACAAAACACAAAAGCTCGGATTAAACCCTCACAGCCCGGATCGCTGGAATTCAGGCCAGAGCGCCAACTGGAGCCAACCGTCTCCTGCTCGATGGCGCCGATGCATTAGGCTAATTATCATTGATTTGATTCATTTACTAATGATTCAGTGAACAATAACCCCCCCGACCTTCGACTTTGTTTGCTCAGCACCAAAGTTTCTGCTGAGGAGCTGAGATTTCATCTGTGGGACGTTTGTTCCCCTCACCTTGACCAGGTCCGATGTAGAAGTGCTGCGGCGCCCCCTGCTGGGGCGGCGGGCCGTGCTGGGGGTTGGAGCCGGCACCCTGCTGAGGGGGGGCGTAGTGCAGCATGACAGGCGGGGGGCCGTGGCCGGCGGCGTGGTGCGGTCCCGACATGCCGCCCGTTAAGTGAGCCTGCAGAGGACAAACAGAAAAGTGAGAAGTTTCAATCTTACAGCAGGGGGCGCCGAGCTCCAAGGATGAAAGAAACCTCCCTGTTATTAATCAGCTGATTAATATTATAATATAAATGTTTTTATTTTGGCTGATAAACCCTCCAGAACTCCAGGTTTACCTCTGCTAACACACGGGGAGAACAGCTGACTTATTCTCACACATGAATCTAAAAACGGTTAAAGCGGCAGAAACGCCTCCATGTT